TGCCCATACATGCATTGGCAGTCAGAGGAAACCCTAGAATCCAGATAGCCAGTCCTTAGAATCACAAGGTAGCTTAGAAAGTCACATGTCACTATTTCTGCAAGAAAAAGTATTGTGAGATTTCTCCAAGGGCTCGGAGTGACCCCACTGTCCATGTCGGTGATGCCCAGTGTCTCATCTGTTCTTCCCCATGCTTTGTCTGGGGTTGGAGTAAGCATGGGGACCCCTGAAAGGAGGGGAAAGGCTCTTACTGATTTGAAAAGGATCCTCCCTACGACTCTGTCTGACTCTGACTCTGAGGTGGGCAGGTCTGAAGCAGATGTACCAGGGCATTCAGTGATTTTATTGCCTCCTACCCTGTTTGTCATTGTTTCACAGTGAGTATGAACTCATTGTTACTTCTGTAGTAAATGACCTCTTCAAGATAGGGGCTAGCATAAGGGTTGCAACCACAGGTGCCAGAACCCTGTTTTGTTCTAGTCATGTCAGATGAACTTACCAGAGAACAACAGCACAAGGTGTTAGATGGTGTGCCAGGTGCCAAAATATTCTTCACGTTGACTAAAACCTGTAACTTCAGACCATAGCTCCACCTATACTCAGTCATCCCTTGGGACCCCAGACCAACAGTCTAGTTCATGGTCACGTTCTGGGAGGGCTGAGGAGGAGCCTTGTTCATTTTAGGGTCCCTAGGGTGGGTAGGCCAGAGGTTCACGGAGGACCTGGCTGCTTCTTAGCTTAGAGTTTAGAATGAGGACTTGCTATGCCAGCATCTTACGGTTTCCTTTGTAACAGTACAGAGGAGCTGCCTCCACCCAGCGGATAATCCAGGGGAATGCATGCTCACACACCCTACTGCAGTGGGTCTTCTTGTGCTAAGCATGCCATTTTCTGAGTTCTTTTGTTAAGGAGAAGAGCATAGTAATTGGACCCTAAAATGCGTCTGAATTATCACATCTTCATCAGAGCCAGCTGATAACATATTTATGACTGTATTTCAGGACATAAGATATGCTTTTTCATATCTGGTCACTGTAGAAATAAAAGTGGTTCTCTTGTTGTTATTTTGGTGTATTAATAATCCCTAGCATTTGGAGGGTACAGTATAATACAGTACCCCCCTTTATATGCTTTGGCATTTTCTGTTCATGCGTGGCTTTAAAAACATCTCCAAGAAATGCCCTGTCTTCTTCTATGTTAGAGCCTGTGTTCAAGAGGGTACGCTCTACGCCTTGTTCTGGGTGTCTGGGGCAGGCAGTTATTGAAGACATAATTTCATTGTTAGTAACAGAGCAGAGGCCCTCACCTGCCCGCCCTCTGGTGCTCATTTCCAGTCTCTGGTAACATTCTGCCTGGTGTGCTTCTCTGCAGCCCTGCTTTAAGGTCTCATGTCCCCCTCTCTGTTCTCTGCAGACTCTGTTAGTGGCCTCTTCTATCATGCTGGTACACACCCCCACCCCAGTCTCTTCATGTAGCTCAGGCTGTTGCTGTTTTCTGCTACAGTAGGTCAACAAATTCCCCATTTGTGTGTGTGGGGTGCTCGGCAGAGCAAGACTTGAGGGAGTTGGTGTAGCCCATGTGTGAGGGACTAGCTCTGAGAGAGAAGCCATCACTGCTGGACTTTCAGCCATACTGGTTCCTGTCCTGCTCTTTTAATACCTCAACTTCTGTGAGTTCCTTGCCATTTGGTTTCTACTAGGATCTGTCTCTTGGTCTCCTGTGGCTCTGACTTGCAGCAGTCTCTGCTGAGAAGCTTCTGTCCCTGCAGGCCTTTCCTGGTCCAGTATTCCTCACTGAACCCTGTCTCATGCCCCGCTGCTTGGCTGAGCCCACATTTATATGACTGGCCCTGGGTCACAGTTGTTGTTTTTGTCCTCACTCAGAATTGCAGGCAAAGTCCTCTGCCCAAAAGCTGAACATGCAATGGGTACCAGGGAAGCTCATGTTAATTAATAGCAGATGGCTGAGGTGAGTGTCACCCTGAAGTACCCAGGCCCTGTCTGGTGCTTTCATACAAAAAGCCATTATATTTATTTCATCTCTACTTGATGTTTACTATGCATTTGAATTGAGAGAGGCCTTAGAATAACTCTGCAGTCCCCAGATGTTCTCCCCTGTTAAATGTTACAAGGTTCTTAGCCTCCTGACAACATCTGTGAAGTGATGTTAGAACATTAGACTAGTAGAGGCTGGCCAGGAAGTTACATCATGGCAAACTATAAGAAACAGTGGCCCTGTGTTGTCTGTGTCAGGCTGCTCTCTTGAAGGGCCTGGGCCTAGATTTCTCTTTGTAGCCCCATATTGGCTCAGGGCTTGCCAGTAGCCTGTGGTTGATATGTTAGTTATTGTGTGTTTAAGTTTGTTGCAGACATGACTGGTTTTAGGCCTGTAGGTATCCTGAGTATTTTAGCTGTAACTTGGTAGAGCTCAGCTTACAGTTTCCTAGCCATACATATATCCATGTCAAAACCAGGCATTAGGGTCTAATGGTTAATACTGTCCATTCAGCAGGATCTAGACTCACCTAAATCATGCCCCTGAAGAATAATCTGGAGCCTGTTAATCTAAGTGGGAAGCCCTATTCTAACTCTGAGAGAATCCATTCAATGGGCTGGAGTCCAGACTGAATAAAAAGGAGAAAATGAGCTATGAAGTAGAAATTTCTGCTTTCTTTGGAAACTCAGTTGTGTCATGACTGCTACCTAAGGTCGGGGGATTGGAAGGGAGGTAGAGATGTTTAAGAACCTTAAATAAAGTAGATTAAGAGTTCATCTCTCTGCTTCCTGGTTTGCAGTGTGACCAGCTGCTCAGAGTTCCTGCCACCTTTGTTTTTCTCCATGGTGAACTGTGAGACCCTTGAACTGTGGGATCAGATTCAGTCTTCCTTTACTAAGATGCTTTTGTTGAGTGTTTTATCAGTCACAGGAGTAACTGATACACAGGGCATCTGGCCTCTGTCCTGGCCTCTGTCCTACTGCTGGGACAGAAGCAAGTTTCTTTTCTATACTGTTTTCTCTCCTGTGGGCTTGGGTTTCTATCTAAACCATTTTGATGTATAACCATCAAGAAGCAGGTTATGAGAGCATAGAAAGCTTTTTTTTTTTTTTTATGCAGAAAGAAAAGTATTGTTATCATGTAACATATTGCTTGGAAAGCATTTTGTGTTCCTTAGGAATTAAACCTTTCCTGGAAATGATGAAGTATCGACTGATAGTACTCAAGAGAACATTTTATCGACTAAGCAGTGTTCTGCTTTGTTAAATTTCTGTTTCATATATTTGCTAGAAACTGATCTCAGAGGCCAGTTCACGGTGAGACCTTTCCTGTGAATCCAGGGAGGGTTTCCTTCCTGTGACTTACTGTACCTGGCCCTGGCTGGCTTTGGTCTTTATTCCAGCCAGGGTGTGGGTGGCTGGTCACCCTGGTTCTTATATTCTTTTTTTTTTTTTTTTGCTACAAAGAGAGGGAGAAAAGTGGAGTGAGAGGCGATCAAGAGAGGTTTTTATGTTTAGAGGGAAGAGATGAGAACATGTTTGCAGGCCAACAGGAGAGCTCCAGCGGGGAGGGAGGAATGGATGAGCTGCAGAAAGAAGCAACAGTGACTGCAGCAGTGTTGCTGAGTGGGTGAAAGGGGCAAGTTCTGCATGTGCCAGGCGTTGATGATGTGCCCAGTGGCCTGCCTTCCCGGATGAAGGCAACAAGGGATGCATTGTCTTTGAGTAAGTAAAGGTACTAATGACAGCAGTTTGTGGCAGTCTGGTTTTTTCAAACCACAATTCTGCATGCTGTCTGTGAGCCTAACTGCTGCCTCCATGTCCATACTAGAGTGCCAGTGCTTGTGCTGATTCTGACCCAACACCAGTAGGACTGTACCTGGCAAGAGTGAGGATTCAAGCAGGCCTAGCAGGGAGAAGGAGCTGCTTCTAGCTGTATCTAGTGAAATGGGCACAAAGGTAAACTGAGACAGACGTGTGACGCCCACTTAACAGGACAGAGTGCAAGGTGTGCACCCAGCCTTGCCAGCTGATGTGTAAATCCCACATGGGGCTGGAGAGTGTGTGGTTTTTATCTGTTGGCACAAGGCAGAGGGTAGCTGAAACATGGGCTTGGGACATGGTGGGTTCACCTGGAATCTGCTGCCAAGGATGGCGTTGACCTTCTCTGCCCACTGACTCAGTCACCCAGAGTACTTGAACTTCTTCAAGGTCATGTCACTTTGTAGTACTTAGGGATGGCAGTTGGAAACTTAGCCTAGGTCTGGCCGGCTGGAAAGCCGTGCTCTTTTGTATCATACCAGTCTCTCCATTTCAGCAAACATGTAAAAATGTCAACAAAAAAACCTGCCTCTTAATGGCTTTTGGGTCCTAAATAAAATATTTTATATGCATCTATAATTATTTTATTAAACTAAAATATGAGGTCTTCTGTTCTTTTTTGTCCCCATGCCTAAAATATTGTTAAGAATGAGAGGAATTATTAGTTTTGTTAAGAAAAATGATAGTGTTTTAGGTAGAAATTAAGTGGCATAAAATAACACATTCCTTGCTTTTGTGTCTCATTTGGTGCTGGAGGCACTCATTCAGTTGTTGCAAGGGTCTTCTTGGGAAGTGTTGCCATGGTCAGGCTTTCCTTGTACCTGGTCTGACAGTTTGGCCTGAATACCGAGTGATCCCCAGTATGCTTCCTTCATCCGAGGGCAGGGTTTTCCTTTGAGGGCCATGGACTGTGGTTTTCTGGAGTTTGGGCTGCTGGGTGGATTTGGGTCATAGGGACGCCTATGTTAATCTAGTCTCCTTTGGAGAAAGTCTTGAAAACTTGTAAAAAGAGTTTTCTTGTAATCATGGGCTATCTGAGGTATCTGCAAAGGGAACACAGTCTGCAGGATGCTGATGATAATGCCTACAACAGTTCTTTCTCTGGTTCTTTGGAGTAATCATTGTTTATGTGATGGAGAGTTAACAAGACTTTTTCTTTGTTTTTGTTTTTTTTTTTCCTTACAGAAAACACAGCTATCTTCATGTGTAAATGCTGTAATCTTTTCTCACCAAATCAGTCAGAACTCCTGACCCACGTTTCTGAGAAGCATGGGGAAGAAGGGATCAATGTGGATGATGTCATCATTCCCCTTAGGCCTCTGAATACTCCTGAAAACCCCAACCCAAGCAAGAGTGGAGATGGTAAGGACAGCAAGAATGCCGGGCAGGGACTTGTGATACAGGAACACTCCAGATTACTATGAAGCCAGCTCTCTGGATCATGGACACAGCAGAAACATAAAGAAAATCCATCCTGGAGCCACGTAATTCTGAATGTAGATATTTTTGTGGAAGATTAGATCTTTGAATTTCCTATCCAGTAGCTTCTGTGGGTGTTCCTTTAATACCTGGTCAGTGATGTGTGTGTATATATGTATATATGTGTATTTATATGCATGTGTATTTGTATGTGTGTATATATGTATATGTATATGTGTGGATATATGTGTGTTTGTATGAATATATGTATGTATGTTTGTGTATATGTATATGTGTTTGTAGGTATATATGTATGTGTGTATATATTTATATATGTATGAGGCAGGTTTCAGTGGAATAAAAACAGGAGTCTGACCTCAGACAAGTGTGGAGTGGTTCAACTCTGGCATCCACCTGCTGAATTACTTAAAGCAAATGAAATTTCTTTTCTAACCCTCACTTTACTTATCTGAGAAATGAAGACGACACATATTCAGATTAAGTCAGAGAATGTACCTCCTGTACCCCAGGTCCTGCACAGATGAGGATGAAGGTAGGTGTTGTTATATACTATCAATAAATTTCTATCGGTAAGCTTGGAAACAGTGTCTCCAAACCTGTATTGTAAACCTAAAGAAAGGTTCAGATTGTGAATCTTGGATTCACACAGTATCCTTCAGGTTCACAGTCAGTGGGCAAAGTGAGCTACATCTGTCTGCAGCTACTGTAGCTCTATTTCAGAATGACACCAACCATAGTAGGTGCCATGGATTAGAGAAGCCATCTAGGTGCTGTAATTAGGTCCCCAAAGACGATAAGGAAAATATATAGTACAGGAGGGACAGCTGCAAACAAGAGTTAGAAAACTTCCCCTTAAAATCCTTTATATATGATGAGGGATAACAGCCATTCTCCAGAGCAGAAGCCCAGGCTGGGTGGCACATGTCTCATTGAGGGGTTCATTAGCCACCCTCACCATACAGTTGTTCCTTCTTGGGAATATTCAGACTGGCATTCAGGATAGTCTGGCTTATTGATCATCTGTCGGAGACTGTTAATAAGGAGAGACTCCAGACAAAAAAATGTTTGGTTAATAAGTCCCTCTGGCCCAAGCCTGGGGTGCTGGAGGAGTATGTCTGACAGATGATTAAGTTGTTGAGAAGCTAGAAAGTCTTACTAGTTACTGTTTGTGTCTCATGATGAGAAACAAAGAAAACACAGCCCGTGAAATGGGCAAAGGAGGAGGGATTCTCTTGGGTCAACATCACTATTGCTAGTAGTGTGTGCTTGTGCACACAAAGGCTTTGGGGCAGACAAAGCCTTTCTCTCCCACAGAAAAGCAAGTCTGTGGAAAAGTCATCCACAGTCACTTCTCAGTCAGCAGGGAATGGTTTGAAGGAAAGAGGAGGAAAGCTTACACAGACTAAGAATCTGTCCCCCTCGCCCCCAGACCTGGAGGTTCGGTTCCCATCCACTCCCTGTCCTGTGAAGAGTTCTGACCACAGGGAGGAGCTACTGGGATGCAGGCCATTTACAGAAGTGCTTCCCTGCTGTGGGAGGCTTCCCAAGAGGACAGATTCCAATGAGAGACACCATGGCTGTTTGGGTTGAGCAGACATCCACTCTGGAAAATGGGCTGTTTCTTATCATATTCACCTGGCAGACTGGAGTCAGTGAATCATCGTGGCCAGCATGTCAAAGGAGCTTTTGCAAGGGTTTTAGTTCCTTTCTGTCAGTGTTGCTTTAAGATTTTCTAACTAAAATGAAATGAAGCATGAATCAGACAGAAAACAATTTTACATTTTTGTTTCTTTTATAAATAAGAACAAGAGAAATGACAGTAACGCCTGTGAGTTTACAGGGAGTTCTGTGTGTGGGTGTTTTGTGAGATGTATACCCTGACTTCTACCCTTCCCTTCCTATGTAGAGATGTCATTATTCATGCAAGACCTCTTCCCCTCCCTGATGGCATGATCTGTCTTTGACCATGGTCCCCCCCAGCTTGTCTCCCCACTTTATCACCTGAGATCTACCTGCTGGGAAGTTAGCAGTTGACTGAAGGCAAAGGTCAACCTTCTGCCTTGGTAGCCAGTTCCTGAAAGATGGCTTTGTCCAGCTCACTCCTGCATATTCCTTGGCCTTTATCAGCTTGGGTTGACCTGGAAGGACTTGGCACTAGCCCTGTGTGGTGTTAGAGTCCCTTTCCCTGGGCTTTAGAACCCCCCTCAGGGTCTCAAATCAGTCCTTCCTGGCCATGTGTTTATGGTGCTTTCTTCCACTTACTCCAAAGCTGGCTTTGGGTATTCCTCTCCTGAAGGTGGTACCCAAGCACAGGGCCAAGTGCCAGGTGAATGTGTCACTCACTATTTGAAATTGTCATTTTCTTGATGTTGGCTTTGTTGCCTCACTGTGTCTCTTAAAAGGTGCTTCATCCCACCTGTCACTTCTCAGGAAGCATCATTAATGACCAACAGAATGTAAATTAAGATAATACTTAATTTTAATTTTTATTCAAATTGGTGAAAGCTCTTAAGTATGTAATAGTATTCTTGGTTGATATGAGTATGGAAAAATAGAAGCTTCTAGATCCTGGTAGAATGTAAATGGGCAAAGGGTTTCACAGAGCATTCAGATATAGCCTGTTAAAATTCTAAATGAGCACACCCTCTTTCTGCTCAAGCAGAGATCAGTACATCAGTCAGTGAGTTCCAGGGCATAAAAGGAGAGGGAAATATGATTGCTTATTGGTTCAGTTTTATACAGTGATGAGAACGTTCTAGAATTAGGTAGTTCTAGGTAGTACTACCTCATATATGTATATATATATGTATATGTATATATATGTATATATATATATGTATATATATATGTATATATATATATATATCATAAGTACACAGTATAGAGTGTTCATATGCATTGTTTATAAGTTGGTGAAAAGTTTGTTTTCATGAAAAGTTAGGTGAATTATGTATTTTCTACAGAAAGAAATACCACACAGACATAAAAAGAAATAGGAGAAATGCTAATAATATGTTAGTGTATGCTTGAAGTTTGCTAAACTGATTATATGTGAGCTTTGTTCTGTGCCTTTATGTTAATTTTACTGTTTCATAGGCTTTTGTCCCTTTCTAAGTAATTTAACTTTTTTTATGACCTACTTTTCAGTCTGCTAATTCTATTTTTACTTTTTTTTCTTTTTTGAGGTAAAGCTGACTTAAAATTTTACCATATTAACAACCTTGGAGCATATAGTTCATGGTTTTAAGCATGGTCAAAATGTGTATGCTATTGCAACTGCCTAATTCTAGAACATTCTCACCATTGTAAAGCAAAACTGAACCGACCCTTGCATGCACTAAGCAATCATATTTTCCTTTCCTTTTATGCTCTGGAACTCACTGATTGATGTTGTGTCCCTGTGGGTATCTATGCTCCCTATATTTCCTATAAACATGGCCTTCTGTGTCTGGCTCTTTTCACTTAGTATGCTGTTTTCATGATTTGTCCATGTGGTAGCATGTTCCAGTTCACTCCTTTTCATGGATGATTGACATTGTTAGCGGAAATTTAGCTTGTTTGTACTTTTTGGCTATTGTGAATAATGCTTCTATAAACAGTAATGCACAAATTTGCATATGCATATATGTTTTGTTTTCTTTTAAGTATGTGCCTAGCAATGAAAATGCTGGGTTATGTAATTCTGTGTTTAAACTTTTTGAGTGTGTGCACATGGGGTGTGTGTGTGTGTGTGTGTGTGTGTGTGTGTGTTGTATTAGTCTCTGTGTGTACATGTGGGGGCAGTATCAGGATGTTATTTGTTCTTCTATCACTCTCTTTTTTATTGTTCTGAGACAAATCTCTCATTTAATTGTTAGTTCAGCATTTTGATTAGGCTGGATGGTCAGTAGACCCTTACGATCTGCCTGTCTCTACCCTTTCATACATATGCATCATAATGAGAGATTAGCAACAGAAGCATTATAGAGTACAATTAAGATGGCACTCTACAGTAAAATTGCCAGCATGGCTAATCCTGAATTTTGGGGCCATTATCACATAGAATGAAGATCACGTAAGGATAAGCACTGTGATAACCTGATAGTTGCTCTCATGACCAAGATCCCCCGGAATGCCTAACAGGCAGGTAGTGCCTACAATGTGCCTATGCTGCACACAGTGATGATGCCTAGAGTTGCCATCATGCTATGGGCTTGACTAGTTCTGGGATTGCTCATTTGGTATGTTTGGATCAGAGATGCCAATAGACAGTGGTGATCATGAAAAGTGAAACATCACTGCTTTTCTCACTGAGTCATTTTTCGTTATGATTTACTTTTGACTTAAATTCTTTTCTAGTACATTTTGTTCTTTTTTTCATATTTAACAGATTAATTGCTTGTATAGTTTAATTTTAAAAAGTATTTCTTAAGACTTTAATTAAAACCAGCTTCTTACAATGACAACATTTCTTCCAGAGTCTTTCATTAGGAGCCCCATGTTCCTCTGTTTCTCTTTTGAAAGTCCATAAACTCTGAAGCTTGTCCAGGCTTAGTCTCTCTCCAATGCTTCCAGTCAAGGTTTAACCTTCACAATTCATTTTAACTTGAGAGATACTTGAAATAGTTTAATTAAAATTTTAACTGCGTAGTAATTGATTTATTGCTTTTCTCTCCTATAACATGGAGGTTCTTAAATCCTTTGCTTTATTTGATAGCCCTTTAGTCTTTTTGCTCACAGAGGATGTGTTCTGCACAATGACCTTGTACTTTTTCCCTCTTGAAAATTAAGTCTCTGGCCTTGTTCCAAGCTGTGATCCAGAAAACAAAATTGCCAAGTGGATCTAGCATCAAGCTCATTCTCCCCATTGTGTGTATATGTGTGTGAGTTATGTGTTTGTGTGTATGTGTGTGTTGGTACTTGTGTGCATGGACAGCTGGGTC